CTGTAAGTATGCGAAGTTTTTATACGCATCTTACTATCTGAGTTTCATGTTCACCAAAAAATGTGTCTACAAGAGTCACAGAAGCGCAGGATGATGCCATAAAAAATTGGTTTTTTTCCCACATACTGTTTACCTTTTTTGTTCAAAGGTGTCAGAGCTCTTTATTGAGAGCAAGGTAGAAGTAGCCGGCACAAAGAAAACGATGATGAGGGGGGATGCATTCGAAATTATTTGTTTGATCTTGATTTTTTTTCTTTCTTTTTTTTTTTTTTTTTTTTAAAGTAACAGCCTTAGCCCACAGTATGTGGGACATTGTGGCATCATCCTGGCTTCTGTGACTCTGTAGACACATTCTTGTGAACATGGAAACTCAGTGATAAGATGGTATAAACTTACATACATACTTACAGCACAGGTAGGCCAGATGCAGACAGTTGGACTTTGCTGCATTAAGTTGCATCTTAATGAGGGAACATGGATTTTGAACATTAAAGATGTAGTTTTGTGCTTGTGAACGCAACATCTCAGAAATGCTTTGAGGGAATTTCTTCAAATTAGGTACAAACATTCACTTGGACCCAATGATGAACTGAGATAGATTTAGATTTTGGTGGTCAATGTTCAAGGTCAGTGTGACCCATAACTCAAGACTTCACACAGCAATTATGACAAAATTTCACACAAATGGTCAATATTGTATGTGACTCTGGATAAACAGGGATGTAACCTGAAACTAGTCTGAGTGGAGGAGGCAGGCAACCACGAGGAGGTGATTCTAGTTAATATATTTCTGAAAATGACATTGTCTCTCAATCCACTTCTGCTTCTCTTGTTCAGGACAGCAACTGTCTGCTGACTGGAGGAAATGATAAGCTGCTGCGCATCTACGATCTCAGCAACCCTGAAGCAGGTAAGTGACTGTGTCAAAGAGGAAATTTACTCAATTAAAGATACATGTAGCAAAATGAAAATTTTGATGTATTTGGTGCTTTCAACATCCCTTTTGGGTTTTTCTATTATTTCCTTCCTTATTTCCTACCTTGGAGACAGGTCTCATTTAAATGAGGTGGCATGTGAAGACTGGGCTCTTATGTACTTGACAATTGAATCTTTGTCCTTTAGCACCACAGGAGATCGCAGGTCACACCTCAGCCATAAAGAAAGCTTTGTGGTGTAATGACGACAAGCAGATTCTCTCTGCTGCTGACGATAAAACCATACGGTCAGTGAAGCGACTTCTTGTGGTTTACCTCATTTGTGACTGTTTGTGACAAACTTCAACTCATCATCCTGACTGCAACTCAGCTTTGTGCTGCAACAGTCATTTCAGCAAACACATAAGAGACCTCTTGGATGTTAAAGCGTGTCCGTCCGTGTGTGTGTCCATGTGTGTCCGTCCAGGCTTTGGGACAGGAGCTCCATGGAGGAGGTGAAAATGCTGACGTTCGACACATCTGTGAGCAGCATGGAGTACATGGCTGATGGAGAGATTCTTGTGATTACATATGGAAAGACAATCGCTTTCTACAATGCTCTGAGGTACATGTCTCAACTAAGTACACATATACATACAGTCATGTGACAAAAAGATCTGACCACACCTTTGCTGCATGGGTAGATTTATGTATATTTTATGAGACAGAGATTTGGACTGTCGACATGTAGCTTCTCCACAGTAACATAAACTAAGTGCAGCATTAGAATGATTTTTATTTTATATATTAGCATGGTAAGAAAAGCTAATGTCATCCAACAGAAAATGTACAAATGATATTTTTGTGACCTCCCTAATCTTGCTGGTTATCTGATTTGGTTATTATTTGTTTACATATTGAAGCCTGGACCTGATCAAGACTGTGGAGGCTCCAGCTCCCATTAACTCGGCCTCCCTCCACCCAGAGAAGGACTTCTTTGTTGCCGGTGGAGAAGACTTCAAGCTCTACAAATTTGACTATAGCACTAAGGAAGAGCTGGGTGAGAGAAGCGTGTTCCTGATGGTTGTATAGAGTTTCCTCCAGTCATTTGGATAGTAGCAACAGCTCTGTAGTTTAGCTGAGGCAGGTTTTCTCCCCTATAAAACACTGCAGGACATCCTGTCATAGAGGATTTGCCTTTGTAAAGAGTTCTGGCTGCTTGCTGGCTTGCTTGGCTAAAGGGACTGATGGAGGCCTATCCTGAAATGTCAGAAATTACATACTTGTTGGATTTTTTTTCTTTTTATTATGACCTCATTAGGCTGCTATATGCCAAGGAGCTGTGGGTGAACTTGCAAACTACAAATTGCTCTAGATCAGTGACTCCAGCTTTAGGAATGAATGGCTTGCTTTCATTGTGTAAGGATGTAGTTTGTTTGTTCATTTTTAAAGAAAAGATGTCCTTCTAAAAAAAAAAAAACATTGATTCCTGGACGGATCTTTAACATAGAACAAGGTTTTCCAAATGACAAATGGTCTCGTCTCTCTGTAGCTAAGAGAGATTAAAAAGAATAAACAAACATCTTTAAGTCAGAGCTTTAATGACCCCTTCCAATATTGTTGCTGCTTCTCCCGTCTGCAGAGTCCTATAAGGGTCACTTTGGTCCAGTGCACTGTGTTCGCTTCAGTCCAGATGGTGAGCTGTATGCCAGCGGCTCTGAAGACGGCACCCTCCGACTGTGGCAGACGGCGGTGGGGAAAACCTACGGCTTGTGGAAGTGTGTCCTTCCTGGTAATACAGTTCATTTATATGTTTCACTGCGTGTCACAGAATCTGGCATAGAGAATGCAAATACTGTTTTTAAAATGGCTGGAAACTATTGATACTGTAAAGTATCACATTAATCTAAGTAGAATCTGTATAGATTTACTGTTAGTACACATTTACATGGTGCAAGATTCTCTGTAACGTCTTTCCTTTTTTTAATGAAAAGATAAATATTTAAAGATAAATGCAGAATAAGTGATAAATGCTTGGCACTATGACATTCAACACAGATGGAAGTCTTTTGAGCAAATGGAAACCACCAACAGTAAATACTGAAGTTAGTGTGAAATGGTCTAAATAAAGGTAAATATTGATCCCCTAATTGCCTTAAGAAACAGCCTACTTGTATGGAGATTGGTGAAAAAAGCCAACTTCTTCTTCTCTGGGAACATCAGTATGTAATTGCACTTCTTGCACAAATCTCAGATGTTGGCGGCCCACATCTAACTTTGTAACAATATGGAGGCCAAATAATGCCTCAGAGCACTTTTTGTTTTAATGATAGCTATTCAACACTCTGAACTGAACTGAAAGCAGAGGACACTCAATTTTTCTTTTTTGTTTGATGGGGGAAGGTCACCTATCCATTCACCATCTGTCTCTTGACTCTGTTTCCATTTAACTTTTCCTGTTGCTAATCAGCTATCTGTTTTGATTCTCCAGTTTTTGCCATGGATGTAATTGCTTAGTGCACAATCAGAGATAGCAAGTGTGTTCCGGTGGCAAAGTGGTCCACCCAGTGACAACATAAAAGTTCCTATCATTGGCTTATCACAGTGATAGTCCTTAAAATCACAAAAAAAACAATGACAGGAGTTGTTAAACAATTTTAATTATTTTTTTTCACCAAACTGTACTGTTTTGCAAATTATTTGTCAGCCCACTTGCAGTGCCTTCACGGCCCACCAGTGGACCCCGGAGCACAAGTTGGGAACCACTGCTCTAGAGATTTAGTAATAGACTTCCATAACGTTTAGGGACTTACCAGAGATGGATTTAGAAAAAATGGTCCAGAGCATGGTAGCAGAGGCCAAGATATTCTAACTTGTTTGGATCCTACACTTCCCATAATGCAACTCAATACCTGCTTTTAATGAGACCCTGCCTGTTAAACAGCTGCACCTTTTAAAACTCCACACCACCAGTTTGTAAAGAAGGATTTCTGTCAGACATGTGTAGACTCCAAGCTGAGGTAACCTTGAAGACATCACTGTGACATCATCAGGTTAGGTGACATTGTACAACAGTTTTCCCAGGCTGAGTGGAAGTCCCCATGACACAGTGGGGTCCAAAAGTCTGAGACCACGTTCACATTTATACATCTGCATGCACCCTGGAGTGTGACAGGGACCTTTGTTTGTTTCTTACATCAGTAGTTTTGTGTGTGTTGTACCTTTATCCAAGTATCAGTATGTTTTTTTCTTTTTTCTAATTCTTGTGTTCTTGTCTTGTGGTGTACTCAGAGGACCTGGGGGCAGAGAACTCTGAGCAGCTGTACACCTCAACCCCTGAGATCAAAGCCTGAGGAGAGAGCAGTGCTGTCTGGAAACAGGATGAGAAGTGGAAGAAGGAAAGGAGACGAGCGGAGAGGTGTTCCAGTGTGTTCTATCAGGCCCCAGCAAGGAGCAGAGTCCAGAGCATCTCCATCCATCAGGAACTGATGTGGATATTATGACTGCCCTGTCTGTCATAGACCAACCATGCCTCTCTCTCACAAAAACACACACACACAAACACACATATATTCATTTTACGCAGTCAAATGGACAGTATGGGTTGGAGAGTAAAGCAGTAGAGCTGTGAATGTCTCTTGCTCATCGCTGCCTGCTTTCTCTCTGATAAGCCCAGTTCTGTCTGTTTCAACTTATTTTAACTAAATCCCCAAAACCATATGACTCTAAGATCGGTCTTGGTTTCAAAATTAAAGTAATTAATTAATGGGCTGGACCAAGGCTTTTGTTTTTGGTTCATAGTTACAAGAATACTGGAGGTAGTTGCACAGTTTGTGCTGAAAAGTTGAGAAGCTTTCTTTTCTTCAGAAACCTTGCTTATTATTCGCTGCTGTTGTTCTGGTTGCGTATAAAGTTTTGTGTCCAAATAAAAGAAAATATTGTTTTGTGACAAAGTGGAAAGAGAAGAAATGTCATTGGTTTTTTTTTTCCATTTTGGGTTCTGTCTTCATTTGTGTCCAGTGATGAAATAAACAAATGCATTACTGTTTTATTTGTAAGTAATGCATAAAGAGCAAACAGTTGTTTTTGGTGTTATTTCCTGTTTCCTATTGGCTTCGCCCTTTAAGGCTGTTGCTAGTGGGTTTATCCTGTAAACCAACGTATCAGCATCACTAGCGCCTTCAAATCTAGAGTTACAACTTTGGATTCTTTCCTCCTCTGCACAACCCAGTGTCTGTTTGTGCACTACAGAGTGCTCTTCCTCTGTCTGCACAGCACCCGTCACACTGGCTGTGTGAAGCTATTTCAAAGGCATCCTCTGGGGCGGATCCCCTGGGGGGATTCCCTCCTCTATGGCTTTCACAGAGGTATGACAGAGGAAGATAGTTGAGCTGCAGTTTCTTATTCTTCCTTCTGTTCTTTCATCCGTTTTTATCTGTGGGATGTGTCTCCAGTTCCTCTGTGACTCACTCTGTACGGAGTGTTTTGTCAGTGATTAATATTTATTTGTTTTCCAGCCTTCACCACATCAGAGATTTTTTTTATTCTACTATGCTGTGCTATTCAGGCACATGGGGTCTTGTGGTGTGTCATTACACATGATGCAATGGATGGGTAGTGGCTATTGATTCAATTATTGAGGTAGGTGTGTTTGTACCTGGGATAGTAGGCTATATCCTGCTTCGTCTTTAACCCTCCAGTGATATCCTTTGTATGTATGTTCAAATATAGAAAACTGTAGACACGTTCATTTTTTGTTATGTATTTACAGAGACTATTGTAAGAACCAAACAGCTTGTAAACATTGAAAACGAGAAGATGCCACCAAATAAGCTGTTAAGTAAATTTTATTTGGGAGTAACTATGGTTACGAAAAAGGACCACAGTTTCTGTTTCTGCTGGAGGGAATTCATGCAGCAGCTTGCTTCTGTATTTATATACTGTATTTAAACCCTACATGTTGATGTACATAGACTTACACTCTAAGCGGTAACAAAGTAAAACAAATACAATATTTAAAATGCACCATTATATACTGACTCGCGTTATCTATTGTTTTGGTGTTTGTATCTTCCTTTTTATTTATTGATCAAAGAAAATGTACAGTAATTCAGGTAATATAACGGCACGTAAAACCAGAACTTTAATGACATAAGCACAACAGGCATATGTAAGATGAATGAAAATGAAAAAGATACATTCCTTTGTGCACTGAGGTATATGAATACACAAAAAAATGTCTTATTCAGTCAGAGGTTACAGGGAAAAAGTTTCCATAATTTTCCAAAGGCTTATTACTTTTATAACTTGAGTAGAGGATTCAGTTCTAGGAGAAAAGATGAAAGTTTAGGAGTTGTCTCCATATATCCAGTCTGATTGAGTGGCGTGCCATCAATTTGTGACGTGTTTTGTCATTTTCAATAGTTGCATTTTGTACCACCAATGAGGAAGCGTTGTCTAACAACGCCTGGCCAATAGGAGCCAGTTTCTAAAGGCAGTCACTTCCGGCCGGGTCATCCCCATGAGTGGCAGCAGTGTGGTGCAGATTTCACCCTAAACTGCCCTCATCACCAGGCAATACTTTCATTTCTCCACCCCTCAACGTGGAGAGGGAAGTGAAAGCAGCGACAGCGACTAATATTATTCTCTTTTTTCGTTCCTCCTTTTTCCTCTGAAACTCACTTCTTACCTCCGCAGCTTATATTTTTGCTTTACGAATCAAATCCAGCAAGAGGCGCTCGTCAGCCACTCCGCTTCCATCCACCTCCCCCTCCGTTCAGTCCATTTTCCCTCTCGGTGTTAGCTAGCAAACTTACCCGGGCGACGCTAACTCTTGTCCCTCCATCTGCTCGCCGACATGCCGGAGTACCTGGACGACCCGTCTGTGCTCACCAAGGACAAGCTGAAGAGCGAGCTGCTGGCCCACAACGTGGAGCTGCCGAGCGGCAACCCGAACAAGGACGTGTACGTGCAGCTGTATCTGAAGAACCTGACCGCTCAGAACAAGAAACATGTCACCGCCACCACTCTGGACGCCTTCTCCAGCGACGAGGAGCTGCCGCCGCCCGTGGTCTCCAACAGAAGCCGCTCATCCGGCAGAGTGAGTTTAGTTATCCGTGTCTGAGTCAATGTTAATCCCATCTCATGTGCAGAAGCTGGCGCAGGAAGCAGGAGCGTGCTTCAAGTTTCTCTAACTTAACTCAAAAGAAGTGGATTTGTTTTCTTTGAGCTTCATAGATCTGTGATTTACTGTATTCATATCCCAACCAATCATTATCAACTGATTACTTTTAGATTAATCGATTACTCATAAGTAGGGCTGAGTCTATGCCTCCAAAATACTGACAAATGTGAGCAAATGCTTCAAACTACTTAAAATATTTGACTGTAATGAAATAAACCTCAACTGCTGAATGAATCAACTGTTCCTCTCAGTTTAAAATTACATCTGTTGATTAATGAACATCATTTGACTCCATCATCTACAGTTTTTTTTTTTTGGGTGGGGGTCAAGGTCCAGGTCCCATCCCCAAAAAGTTCAGTTGTTGCTTCTTGTACCACAGCTGGAGACAGAAGTTTCCTGCTCTAACATGCTGGAGGAAGTTGTAAGTAAAAACAAAACTATAGCAGCCTTACATTTCTGTACTGATAGAAACAGGTTTTTATCTTTACCTGTATCTGGAGAGGAGAGTGGATGGAGTCTCTCTCCCTCAGCCAATTTAATCATTTGCTCTTTGACATGATAATTTAATCAGTTTTGGTTGGAGAGCATTTTGAGTGGACAGATGGAGACACTGCTTTACCTGTTGCTGCATGAAGTGACACCCTGATGCAGAATCTGTTAAAGCGCAGATACAGAAGCTGATAGGTGTTTGTTGTTTTTGAATGAATGGATGAATGAATGAAGATGTTTCTGTTGATAAAGAGGGTGTCGGTTTCTCAGCATTCCTCAGTTGTTTTAATAACACTACCCCCCCCCCCCCATAACTACCTCACAACCTTTTAACAGTTCACAGATTCCCCTCTAAAACCTGCTGACTTTCTGAAGTTGCTGGTTTTACATAGTAGTTACATGCTAAGCTCTCTCATATAGTTTTAAGACCTTTTCACACGGGCTTTAAAAACACTAGCACTGCCGAGAAAAGAATTAAGGTGCCAGCTTATTTTGTGTTTATTAGATCAAATTTTAGGACATTTACATTTTGCCATCACAGATTACCACAGCCTCACTTCATGTTACTTCATTTGTTTGACTAAGTAAAAAGAAAAAATCCTCACATTTTTACACTTGTAATGAGATTATGTTCATTATTTTTACTACTATTTATTTAATGGTTTAAATAACGATTCAAACAGTCATTATTTCAGAGAAGTGAGTTTCACATTAAACTTTTAGTTTTTAGTTAGTCTTTCTCAAAATTTCAATACTTTTTTTATCTTTCCTGTATTTCAGTGATTTATTTGTTAATTTCATGTGAACTTTGTTTAATTCTAGTTTTTCTTTTATTCTTTTATCATTAGTTTTAAGTTTTGTTGATGTGTAAGTTCCTTGTTGACTAGAGACACCTCACCTGTTGGGTTTGTGGAGAAACCAGGTGTGCAGCAGGGAGGGGGTGGTCTCGACATCATGAAGTAAAGGGTGGGGAATGAGAGATGACAAACAATGTGGGAGTGTACGTGTTTGTATCATTCTTTCACTGCTGCCTGTAGTGAAGAAAAACATGTGTACAGAAGTTCTGCTGCATATTTTCTTCATTCGTGTCTTTTCTTCTCTGAACGTACGGTTTAGGATTTATTCAGAGCTCCCTTAGTCAGGTAAAGGTCACCTGACTGTTTGTGCTGCGAGGTGTGGACTGTGACGACCATCAATCTTTCATGAGTTTTCAGATGATGAATAAACGCAACGCTGAGAGGGGAGAGGAAGCTCTTTGTGTGCGTGTGTGTGTGTGTGTGTGTGTGTGGGGGAACTTTGAATCTAAAATCTGTAAAGTGTGTGATATGACAGCGATAGTGTAAAGAGTGTAGTAAGAGCAATGCTGGGAGGTGGTGCACTGACCCTTCTGTGTTTGAACAGAAGCTCCGTGCAGCGTTACTGTCTGTTTACAGTCACCCTGTTTACTGTTTGTTTGACCAGACGCACAACATATTTAAGAACCATCAGTACACCCTTCATCAGTGAGAGTGAGTGTTAATTGATTCATATTTTTGAGGACAGATGCAATCTGACACTAATCAGCTGCTCTTTGATGTACAGGTTCTGTCCTGCCATTTTTAAATACTTCTTTGGCAAAGTTTAATCTTTTGTGAGTATTGATTTTCTTCTTGTATGCTGTCTATAGAGGTTGCCTTGATGTAATGTCCGGATCAGTCACTGAAACACCTGTTAGCACAGATAACCCCTGTGTCAAGTCAGAAGCACTTACCTGTCTGGTTTTTTTTTTGATGCAAGGTTGCTTTAATAGCAAATTGTGCGTGGCATAATTTTTCACTGTTGCATTGAGGTTGGACTTTGGTGTCTGTATTTTCACTGTACTCAGTTTTGTTGTATACTATTATTATTGTTAGGCAGTGTTTGGACATTACAGTTAACTGCATAATGGGACACTTTATGATGATGGGATGAAGTTATTGAGGTTATCTTATTTTGGAGAAATAATCATTTTCTTTTCTTTGATTAATTGTTCAGTACGGTGGCCCAGAGAGCTCAAAACACTGCATCTTAAGAAAACACATGCAAACAGACAAAACACAAACAAATTCAGAAAACATCTTCATCCATTTGACAACACGTGCTGCAAGTACTCACAACACAACGGAAATGTTTCCAGGCAACAACCCGGCTGGGTCGCACTTGTTGTTCAATGCTTTTAAATCCAAAAGTCACAAAGCATTGTGTCCGCTGGAAACACCTCAGTTGTGCTGTGAGTATTTGCCGTTCATGTGTTAAGTTGATGAAGATGTTGTCTGACGTTGTTTGTGTTGTGTCTTTTTGCATGTGTTTTCTTAGGTCCAACCTCAATGCAACAGCAGTGAAAAATGACGCCACGCACATTTGCTGACAAGACTGCCTCAGACTGGAGAAACTGGAACCAGCAAATATTTGACATGTGTCGAAGAAAAATGTCATAAATTATTTGGCTTTGACTTCTAGGAACTAAAAGTCAGGATATCTCAACATCTGCACTGATCTTGAACGTGCTTTTTAAAACAGCTGGCCCTCTCTGCCTGCCTCAGAAAATAATCAATGGTTAGTTGATTAATCTATTTGTCAGTCGACAGGAAATGCCGGTAGTAACTCAACCCAAGCAGATCAGACTCTATTATATATTACACTGTTTGAACACAGGTCAATTGTTGGTTACTAGGAGCTAATAAGTCCTAGGAAGACAGGCAAGAGGAGGTTCATGCTCATTAACTGAAAGCCTCAAGGTTTTTAAAGGTGTTATCAGTGTGAAACTCCCTCCTCCTGAAGCTTCAACAATGCCTCATAAGTCTGTAGCTGCTCCTCCCTGGAGGACAGTCACTGCAGTCAGAGTGGATTTACAGCAGGTACAATGAGTTCCTACAGTCACAGTTTTATAGAAAGTATCAGCCCACTCTGTCCATCTGTAAGCAGCACAGGGTTTCCCCAGGAAATGTTTTAGCAGGGGTAGTGAGTAAACCAGATCCTGATGCATCTGGTCTCAAGATCAATTTAGATGACAATCTGCACGTTTGCACGAAGCACCTTAAGTTTTCTACTTAAGTAATAGCACTTATGATTTAATTTGTCCGTAGCTGAAAGTTTCCTTAGTTAAGGAACAAAGTTAAGGCATTTGCAGCCGTGAAAGAGATTTTACAGCGGCACACTTCCTGGGATGTGTTCATTTTCATCATTTACCACCATAAACTCAGTCACATTGCAGATAAGACTTAAGTTAAGACTTTTTCCTTACTTTGGTCACTAACGGCTTAACTGACTTCAAATGATTCCTTACGTATAAGACTCAGATGAGGAGAAAACCTTAAATACTTAAGTGAACATTTTAAGGATGAAAGTAAGGGTGTTAAGTGTAACTGTTTTACTTTAAGGAAACTTTAACTTAACAGACTTTAATGAAAATCTTAACTTAAGGTGTTTTGTGCAACCGACCCCTGGTATTTTACTGTGTGAAATAAAACCTCTGCACTTTTGCCTGATGTCTGAGGTTTTATTTCCAGAGAGTGTAATAATAAGTAATAATCCTGATTTATTCTAGGATTCAGGATTGTCCTCATGAGTTCTGATTTTGATACTTGTAGAAACTGACCGTTGAAATGGATGCATTTGTGACACTGATAGAGGAGTGTGTTTCTGTCTGAACTTAAGATTTGGCCTCTTCATTGAGGAAATACTTTGCTCAGGAAGAGGACTCGCTCAGACTGCTAACGTGTGTGTGTGTGTGTGTGTGTTAAAAAGGCAGAGGCTGTGGAAAGACGCAGCTCGTGTGTAATTAGTTTGTCCTTGGCTGTCTAAGCTACTGTAGTGTTGTGTTGTTGAGGCTGTTTATCTTGTGAAACCTGGTGCCTCAGTGATTGTGGGCTGCAGGTATGAGTTGCAGGTGGAGGTGGGCATGCAGCACAAAAACCCATTCCTGACATTTTTGAAATAGCTGACGCTTTTCAAACTGAACCCTCAAGGTTCAAACACTGTGTATCTCATGCATGAAGTTTCCCTCCTTTATCTAACACAGTCTGTGCTGAGAGGAGCGAGAGGAATTAGTTGTGAAGTGTAAAGAATGTGTGACACAAGTAACACAGAGTTGTGGCTAGTCTTAGTAGAGTCAATTATGGCCAACCACACACGCTCCATTGTTTATCAGCCAGGCAGTGAGTTACATCATGCAGCCACAGGTCCTGGCATGTCTTGCCCTCCGACTACTCCATCCACGCTTTAGTGCAGAGTTGTAAAGGAAAGTCTGACGGTGTTTGTAGTGAGTTTACTCCACAGAGCTGCGCACCGAGCCAAGCTGTGAGCTCAGAGTTCAGTTATGCCTTTAAAGGCCAGGGTGTGGTCTTCAGACAATGGAGTACTGACCGCTTCTCCCCTCCTTTTTCTTCTCCCAGCCTCTCTAGCTCAGGCTGCTGTGATTATGAAACAGTCTGGCTCGGGTCCAGACCAACCCCTGCTCAGGGCCCACTGAGAGCCAGACACAGCAAGGCAGCCTCTCACATTTAGTAAATGCCGTGAACCGTGGCAACACCTCGCCGCTGAAACTGAGCACATCGTCTTTGCATTCCTCACATTTTCCTCTGCTTTGTTGCCAGATGAATGAATTCAGAGCGTCTCTTTAGAGCCTGATGTCCACTTAAAGCCCACAGTGAAGGTGCTGCTCCACCTCCGCTCACTCTGCTCAGCTGGGCTCAGTCTGACAGCAGAGGGGCTGATAGCTGCAGTCTGTAATATTTCTATATGAATGCCTTCCACAGACACACAGCCTGGCGCCAGTGTTGTAAGCTGCTTTCAATGAAAGTAATTAAGTAAAGACCTGCCTGCATGTCCCTGACACCCCAACATAGCAATCTACACACCAAAGAATTAAAGTGAAGAAGATGAAGTAAGATTAAACTTGAATCTAACTGGCTTCTTCATTATCTACCAAGCTGCTTTCAACACATCAGCCTGAAAAAAATAAACCAAAAAATATGCTGTGTGTGTTTGTGTATGTGTGTGTACTTTTCAAGGCTTATGTGTGATGTAGTCATGTGTATCTGTCTTTTGTGAGAGGGTGAAAAGGAAAGTATAGTGACATTAATGATGTAATATCAGTGTAACCGTAGGGAGAATGTAATAGGAAAAAAAACTTATGATATACTGCCAATGTAATAAATAAAGAAAAATGCTAATATGATATAAAATAGTGTAGAATAATATGACAATAGTGTGGTGGTGTTATGACAGAATAGTATGTATTATTTATATAATATAATGATTCTAAATGTGATATTATAATAATATACATTATTATATTACATAACAATTATAATTTACCAATGTGAAGTTTCATAGTAATGAGTGTAGAGGTCAGCCTACTGTCTCTACCATCTCCCTATAATTTCAAACCAACCTTGTATGTTGTTGTTGTTGTATACTGTGGATGTGTCATGAATATAGAGGATCCGGACACTGGAATAAACTCACTCTTGAAAATTCTGTGTCAGGGGACAAATAAATCACAAGTAAAATTAAGAGGCTTTGACCCACAGGCATCAGCAGATGCTTTGCCTCCTGCTCTCCCAGGATTCACTGCAGCCTCTGCGGGGGTCTCTGTACATTAGTCTGGACTTCAACAGGGGGATCGCAGCTCAGTCAGACTGAGATCAGGTTGAGATCAGGTTGAGATCAGGTGACTGAGTCGGCCGGCTGGGGATCCACCTCCTCACTGTGTTTGTTTCATTAGTTCATTGAACTTGATTCCAGAACTCCGCTGGTTTATTTCTGTGAACCACAGCCTGGTCTTTGTGTTGATGAGGTTTACCTACTATCTACTGGTCTACCAGCTCAATTTCTGTTTTAGATCGTACACAACTGTTGTTGTTGGCAAACTGACTGCAACGCGTGTAGAACACATTGGCACACATTAGGTTTGATATTCTGCCCCAGCAAACAGCCAGTGTAGTACAGAGGCACGCGTCTGTGTCCACCTCCCTCCTGTAGTGCGTGTACACCTTGGTATGGATAATATCAGGGACATCACCTGCTCCAGAACAGAAACTCGTGGACACCATTGAGTTCCTTTTTAGACTTTTCTGCAGCAAGGCTCTATTATTTGAAAATTAGATGTTTGGAAACACGGCAGCATGTGTAACTTGTAAACTGACATCACGTTCAGGGAAAGCATTTCCTGCACACTGACTTTATTCACTCAGAGGCTGAGTGAGCCAGGGAGGAGACACAGGGCCTCTTCATCTCAGAGGCCGCTGGCTTCAAACACACTGTAATTTCCTGTAGGCTGGAGTATGAGGGGCGGCTGCAGCCCAGCATGTTGTTTACTCTCTGAGCATCAATCACCTGCAGCAGCTGTCTCTCTGGCTTCACTTCATTTTAGAAGATTGAAGGAAACTGTTTTTTCTGGTTCTGTTTGTGTACTTGAACACATCACAGATGTGCCTCCACAGATCTGTGTAGAGATCATGAATGAAATGAAGCAGCCAACTTGCATCTTTTTATCAGGCAGCCTGGTAAACAGGTTTCCGTAACTGTTTGAAAGTTCACAGCTTTTCCTTGAGAGAGAATGAATGTGTCCAGCTGAAGGTTCACAGGAGGTGAACAGGTAGACACACACCTGAGGGTGTGAACTGAGCAGCCATTGTGTTACTATCTTCTCCTCTTTTTTGCTTCACCCTCTCAACGTTTGGGATCATCCCACTGCTTCCTCTAAGATGGAGTTTTAGCAGCAGGGGTCAAACATGCCTGCACAAAAATGTGTTTTCTTTTTTTCGTGTATGTGCAAAATTCTTTTTGTGTAATCCCGCCCACACCACAAGAGCTCTTGAGGCCTCAGTACATACAGTACATCAGTGCAGAGCAAATGTCTGTTCATCTTTGTAGAAATGGTTTTAATCCCTTGGTCTGTTTGTTATGGAGAGGGGGACACCTCTGTGGATCATTCAGCTGCTGGTAAAAACCTGCCGAGTGTCTGGTTCTTCTCCTCTCTCCTGTCCTTGTTTCCTCTCTCCTCTCCTCTCCTCTCCTCTCCTCCCCTCTCTCCCCTCCTGTCTTCTGCTCTTTCTCCTCTCAGAGAAGACAACATACTGAGATGGTCAGATTTCTCCATCCTCTTCAGGATCAGAGGGGAAGTCCTCATTGTCAGTGTGTGTTTGTCTCGCATGTGAATAGAGTGCTGTCATGTCGTAGTAGTCGCTGCACAAACAGCCCATACCCACAAACAAAACTGTGTCGTCTGACTTTGATGTGATTACTTGCTGATTACATTGCCTGAGGACCAAAATAAATCTATGGTAGTGCCTGACTCTGACCCTGCTGAGTACAGCTCATCACGCCCTGTCGTCCTCCCACAGAAAGCCACCAGGAAAACAGACAAGGTTCAGCCAGAGGAGCTGGATGTGACCATGCTGACTGACGAGGGCCTGAGGGACGAGCTGCTCAAACACGGAGTGGACGTGGGGCCGGTTGTGGGTGAGTGTTCACATTCACAGAAACAGCAGCAGGGTCATATGAGGGTAAACACTGAGGTGTCACCTGCACTTTGCATACACACACACACACACACACACACACACACATCCACACACACACACACAGAGAGGGATGTGGTGTGCTGGTTCTGCACTCTCCACACAGATGATGGAATTCACATGTGGCTTTCACATGTTAACTAACAGCACACCATGTTTGACCCACTCTGCAAGTGAAGACACTGGATCAATGTGTTGGTCAGTTAGTTTAACATAGCAGGACACACATACAGTATCTCTGCTGGTTTTCAAAAAAACAACTCGGTCTCAAATAACAGTTATCACAAACGAATAAAAGGCAGCTCACTAATATATTTAGCACAGCACTAATTCATGCACCACTCTGCTCACCCACTTCTTATTCACTAATTACAAAAGCTTCTACTTTGCACTTTTCTCTCAGTGTTTAAGTTCTGTTGATTTAATGAAGCACCTGCAGACAAAAGCAGCAAAGTAGAACCACCTATCGTTCTGTTCCATTATTAGCTATTTGTGGCTTTGCTATTACTACATAGCTAATGTTAGCATTAGCAGCTGTTTACTTAGAAGTCTAGTAGAAATAATGTGAGTTCAGCATCAAACTTCATTCCTTCACTAACCAACAGCTGTCTCCAGAGGTGGAAACAAGCACCAATGTTAACTCGTCTTTATCACATCTTTTCTTCTACTGAAGTTAGCATGCTAACTAGCTAGCCCCAGACCAGCTCATCACGTTCCGATGCCAATCCACAATAGCATCCAGTCTGTCCTGAAGACGTAGCACTGCTCAGAGGACGTATTCTAGCCTCTTGCCTTGTAAACGCAACAATGGCCGTAGCTCTTGTCAAGCAACAATCACTACCACCTGCTCCCCACAAGACACCACAGAAAACTTACAAATAGCCCCTTTTAAAAAGAGAACCATTGCTGTCACACAGTCTATACAGCAGCGGTTCTAGGACATCTACAGCAGAGGTCTTTTGGGTTGGGAAAGCTGCAGACATGATTATATATGGCTGATCTGCCTATAATTAACTTAGCATATCACCTCATACCAAACTATCTGTAAATATGTAAACATGGACACTGCACAAAGNTGCTGATCTGCCTATAATTATACTTAGCATACTTAGTCTTATACATTAGCACTAATATCACCTCATACAAAACTATCTGTAAATATGTAAACATGGACACTGCACAAAGTGATGTTACTTAGGTTTACATTGCTGTGATCAGTCTGCTCAGTGACTGAATAACACTGGGCTGACAGTTGTTCTTTCACTTCTTTAGATTTTTGAGATTCTAGATATTTCCAAATATATATATAAAAACCTGCCACACTGAGCTCCAGATGTCACTTCCTGATGACACCGATACCCAAGAACAAAATATTACGCACTCTTATAGCCGTGTCTCTAATGTGCAGTTGTCAAAGAATTTGAGGGACAGCCCACGTAGACACAGTCATATAGATGCGAGTGTGTGTTGGGCTGAGTGCAGAGCTGACGTGTGGATGAACAGACGTGTGCACTGACAGCTGACCGCAGCTGCTGCTTCTGCTGCTCTGCCAGTGTAGAGGAGGTGTAACACAGAAAACATGAGAGTGATGAGATGGTGCTAAAGCATAAATAACAGTAAATAAACAGACTGAAGGGAAATAAAGAAAACAGAAGATTCTTCTTCTAACCCTCTGAGGCCCACATTCCGTTTTTTCATACCTTTTGTGTTTTGCCTTATAATGTTGTCATTTTTAAAAGTTTCACTGAGTGCTTAACAGGTCCAGAATCAGCACAACCTCAACTAATAAAATGTGTCACTCAGAGACTTATTTTCAGTATAATAGGAGTTAATAGCCCATAAAACAAGAAAAGCCCATAAAGCAGTCTAAACATACAAAGAGAAAGCAGCGACGCACCAGGCAAACGGCTTTTCTAACTTTTCATGTTCATCAACTGAAGTCATTGACTCACACAGACAATCAGGGGCATGTTAGAAAATGCTGATTCTAGTTTAAAGTGAAAAAACAGCATGTCTGTAGCTCAACCGTTGAGGAGTTATGATGCTCTAAAGACAACGTGAAACTTGGGAGCGTATACGTGCCCATGAGCTTCAGAGGGTTAAGATGATGGATGTAAATGCTGAAAAGCCTCTAGATGAAGTTTGACTCGTTTGTACGCCACAAAGTAGAGTATGAAGGTGCCACTCAGGATTTTCTACCCTGCGGCTGTTCTGTGGTCACACATGTTGGCACAAAGAATTAACCACAACACATCTTTAACAAATAGTTAGATAAATGACTAAATTACAACAGCATCACACCTGTCTGTGCCCCCCCCCCCCCCCCCCCAAACAGTACATACAACACAGCACACACACACCACACACACAACACACTACACACACAACACACAACACACACACAGAACCACGACACATATGACATACATCTTTAGACTGAATTTGATGAATTTACTCGCCTCTGCCTCTCCTCCAGTGTCCACCCGTAAACTGTATGAGAAGAAGCTGCAGAAGCTGCTGGACAATGGTCCTGTGCAGCCGCCACAGCTGGTTCTCACAGAGATACAAGTCAACCACAACGGCAAATCTGAATCAGACCTGTACAGTGACAAGGAGGACGGTAAGATCAGTGTTATGTACATGGCTGTGGCAGATTAAAGGATTAGTGTTTGAATATAAAATGAGATGTGTGTGTGTGTGTGTGTGTGTTTCTTTGTTCCTGCAGTGTGGATATCTGATATTATATGTTGTCCCACTGGAATAGTGAGTTTGCTTGTTGCTGCCTGCTAACAACATTTGCATTTACATTGACAACCACAAAGCAAACACTGTTCTCAGTTCATTTCAGCCAACTGTGAAAACCAACTTGCAGAGACTGAAAACTCACAATACTCTCATGTGGTGGCATGAAAAGTTTTACTTTTATATCATCTGAGTTATAAGAGTCAAATCATTACATCATGAGCTGTGTTGTGAAAAAAAATCAAACCTATAAGACTGACAATAAAGAAATATGGAGATCTTGAAAGTTTTATTTCAGTTCAGTTCAATTTTATTTCAGTCCTTGAACGCCATATCTCAGTAATGCCTTGACAGAACTTCTTCAAATATGGCAAAAACATTGACTTGGACTCAACGACAAACTGATTAGATTTTGGTGGTCAAAGGTCAAGGTCAGTGTGACCTCAAAACACCATTACTCAAGACTTCACACAGCAGTTATGACAAAATTTCACACAAAGGGTTCATATTTTCTATGACTCTGGATAAACAGGGATGTAACCTGAAACTCTATCACGAGGAGGTGATAATAGTTAAATTTACCAAGTGAACTACACATTCTTAATTCATTATCACAACTCTTCCACAGGTTTACCCCTCTAACAGATGTGTATCTTCTTTTTATATTGGTTCTAACCCTTGCTTTTTTATTTATTTATTTATTTAAATATTTTAAATATTTGCATTATGTAAAATTCAGAAATGTATAGGTGAATGATTTATCAAGGAAGTCTTTTCATGTTGATTTTCACTGAGCTGAAATGAACTGACGTGAGAGTAATGTCTTCCTGGAGGGGAAGAAGTTAACATAAGAACCTGCACTTTATTTTGAAAAACTATAATGACACTAATGCTAAATAATAATTTGTTTTTTATAATTAAAACATAATTAATCGAAATCTCAATATGGCCAATATCCAAATCACAGGAGCTGCAGTTTTTTTGATAAAGGTAAAGTGTTTGTGTGTTTGTGTGTGTTTCATTAGAAGTGACAACAGCACCAGAACCAGAGCCTGTGGCAGATCCTGAACCGGCTCCACTGGTGGAGAGACCGGTGAGGAGCCGAGGGAAGACGCCGGTCACCACCCGCACCCGCAGCAGCCAGCACCACACGGTAAGAAACAGCCTCTCGACCACTGACAGTGAAGCTCATCAGTCCACACGCCGTCACATGGCAACACGTCCTAGCTCTGCCTGTGGAACTGTGAATGGAGACCACAATAGAAATACTCCTGAGTTCTCCAGTCTACATGTGTTGGTGTAGTTACATTAGTTTGTTAATGTGTTGCTGGTGTGTTTCCTGAGCTGGAGAAATGTGTTTGATACAGATGTGAATGAGTGGCTGACAACAAACTGCAGTGGTGCTGCTTTCACTGATGTCTGTGGAAGCTGTAGTTTGGAGTTGACAGAGTCATTCTAGTCCAACTATAAATCTGAGTGACAGAGGAACTGGGGATGTAACGGTTCACATATCTGTGCCGTGCTGTTCGGTACAGGATGTCCGGTTCAGTTCACGTTGTAATGCAAATATAATCTATCTTTAACCGTGCTCATGTTCTACAACGTATTAGAAAACAAAGGGTTAGGCAGAAAACTAGACCACCGGACCAAGACTGTCTGAGCAGGAGGGTCTCTCTCTGCAGCTGAAGGGATGATGGCAGAGCAACAACAGGATTCTTTGACAATAGATTTGTAATTTTAGCTTGACTTCAAAAGCACAACTACAACAAAGTCTGCTATGTAATCAACATAATTATGCAAAAGTCATTTAGTAACCATAGTAACATAACATGTTGGTGCATCAGTGTGAGTGTGGAGGTTTCCACTAATAAATGAGAGAGTGCAGAACAGTTAAAACACTTGTGTCTGTGGGTTTTTGCAGGTCCTCATTAAAAACTGAGTGAAGTGACACACAGTAACTACCCCCCACCCCACTAACACTCACTCTAATTGGCTGTTCTGGTCAGGGATGGGATTTGATAGCATTTTATGAAATCTGAATCCACTTATCAGATCTTTTAAAGTTAGTTGTTGGGGTGTAATGAAGACGTCTGTCGGCTAGATAAACTCCTGTGAGGAGTTGCCGCCGCGGTTCATCATCCGCATATTTGGTTTGGCATAACTGTTACGCAAGATGCCCTTCCTGACCAAACAGCAGAGTTGCAGTAATAAAACCAGTTTCAACTAAATTCTTCTAATGACATTAATAACACAATTAGTCGCTTCAATTGTGATTTAGGGAGCAACTATCAGACAAACATGACTCTGACTCAAAAAACCTGAAACATGGACATTCTGCTGTGCTGAAGGGCTGTAGTCACTGATCTGTGACTTTCATTAACCTCGTCCCTACTCACTCTTCCTTTTGCTGCGTAGAAGATAAAGTGAAAACAAACAGTGAAAATGAGAGCGAGAGAGAGAGAGAGAATTTCAGTATCTCCAAGCACTTTTTCCTCTGCCCCCCCCCTCCCTGAGGCTGAGCTGAGTGTGGAGCAGGTGAGCTGGGGTTTGATTCTGCAGTTTCCTCTGACACTGGGCACAGGAAGCGGTTTTTCATTTCACTGGAGAGCAGTCACACCCAGCTCAGTGTGAGCCTGGAGGTTCAGTGTATCAGTGCTGCTGCTCACTGCATGTCAGACTCAAAGCACATGATGTGGATTAGCTGCTGCCATGCACATGCTGGGTGCTTCACACACTGATTTTCTCCTGATCCCTGCAGCTCTGACGGCTGTTCTTTACCTCCATCTGTTCCTTTGCTTTTCTTCTCATGTGTGACGTCCACACAGTTGTTAATGTAATTGGAAAATCTGGACAAAGGAGCCCTGAAAAATGTTCTTATACTATTACTATATCATTTAACTTTGTTTTTGTATTGTAAGAAGTACAGTGTGAATTGCCGCTGTAGAGAAATGGCAGTGTGAAGTCATGGGTGTAATCCAGCAGTGAGCTGTTAGCGTCTCAGCAGCTCCTCCTGCTGTTCACATGGTGAACGTACACCTGTTGAACTGAGGCATGTGAAGAGTGGTGAGCAGCCAACCAGATATGACCTGTGTGTGTGTGTGTGTGTGTGTGTGTGTGTGTGTGCGCGCGTGTGTGTGCGTGTGTGTGTAGATCAGTGGGGGGTGTTGTTCATGAGGACAACTGCAGTTGGGAAGAGGTTTTGGTCTTGATGGACTGCAGCCTCCTGCCAGAGGGGAGTGTCTCTCTAAGAGTTTGTGTCCAGGGTGGGAGGGGTCGGCTACGTAGTAGTTTGCCATTTTGTAGTGCTCTCGGAACGTATAATGAGAATTATAGCACCCTAAATAGTGGACTCGTAGTATCCCATAATGCATCATGAAAATTAGTGTACAACCGATGGTCACTTACCAAGCAATACATACATACATCATGCTTTGCACTCACGCTGAAAGACAGAAAAACGGTGCAGAGAAAATGACCTGACTGTCCGAAAGTGTTTTTTCATTTTACCAATGAGCTCACTGTGTAGTCCTCTACATAGAACTCCCTGGATAGTGAGAGGGAGGAGGGAATGAGTGAGTGATTTTTGGCACAATCCTGGAGGGTCCTGGACTATGGACCGCAGATCGGTCGAAAATGTCTAAAGACGACAGAAAATGCCGTGTCAACACGTCAATTTTGAACGTGTGAAAGGCGTTTAAATTTGGGTGCTACCACTTCATCAATTTCTGAGAGGAAGCCACATAGAGCTTATCATTTCAAGAAACAATTCCCATTCAACCTACTTATGAATTGAGTTTAGGAATATTGACATTATTAATAATAATATATAAATAATGACATCATTAATGTCATTTTTATAAGCTACTACTTATTGAGAAAAATGTAACTTCAATATCATAATTGACATCTTCATGTAATGTGTATTTGTCTAAGTGCCACTAGATGGCAGTATTAACAAGCTCAAATTCCCCGCTCATCATGTTGAATTGTCTAAGCTTGTCTTCACACGTTTCAGTGATTTGGTCTGGAGTATTCAATCGCCTTCTCGGCAGAGTGAACGATACGCTGCGGTCTACTCCTGTCCTTGGCAGCGGAGTACCAGGTGGTGACAGATGGACTCATTGATGGAGGTGTAGAAGTTCACCGTCAGTGTCCTTAGCAGGTTGAACTTTTTCAACTGTCACAGGAAGTTCATCCTCTGCTGAGCCGATGTTCAGCTCCCTCTCCCTTAAGTTGAGGGAATGACTTGAGTGAAACGTGGTCTTCAGCATGGGGTGAACAGAATTTAGCTTTAACAACACCAGCATCAGACATACTCCCCCACATATGGGCCTGCTTTTTCTGGACTGAAAGTAATGCAGATAAAAATGGGCCGAAAGTCGCACACTGGTATTTTTATTGTCTGCTGATATGTGCACCATGTGTGTAGAGATGGATGAGGAGCATGATGAAGCGCCTGTCCTGAGAGTGAAGCACAGACCTCGGGGGTTTATCCCATGGAACGGTGAATACTGTGCTTCACAGACATGTATGTGCAGTTGTGCACACATGCAGCCCGTTCTCCTCAGCTGCTTCACACGTTCTTCTGTCGGCTACAGCAGCTGGAAAGATCTTCACTCCGCAACTCTCATCTTCACTTCTTCCTCTGTCCCTGTTGTCTGCTTCACACTTCTTCTGTCTGACTTCTGTCTCTCCCTGTCTCCTGGTCTCTGTGTCCCAGCAGATAGTGCCTGAGGATCTCAGGCCTGTGTTGACAGATCATGTCCAGTTAGAGTCTGACAAGAGGGTTCACCACAAGTCAGGGAGTCCAGCTCGGGCTGAAGCCCGCTCCACCTGGTCCAGATGTGTTCAGGTAGCTTTAGGCTATGGCAGCTGTTTGTCCTGTCGCTGATCTCTGCATGGACTCACTGGCCTGTTGGTTCTGTGGTGTGTCTGTCTGAAGAGATCGGTGCTCCCCTTCAAAGATTCACTGTCTCTTGTCATCTGGTGTGAAAGTGCACTGAGGGTGGGCATGTGTCAGCAAAATATGTGTATTATCCACAAGGCTGATGGTCTCTAAAGGGTCACATTCACTCACTTCTCTGTCACGATGAAGGACTAGCTCAGAACATCAAGAACCTTTTGGGCTGGTTGGTGCTTCACCCCTCGGTGTCATTTATTGAGAGTTCTCAGGTTGGTCTGGTTTACTGATGTCGCTGCCTCAGAGTCCAGCAGGAGAAACTCTGTCCCATCATGTGGGCCCCAAACTGAAGTTCGGTCCAGCAGTGAAGACGGCTGCAGAGGTCTGCGGAGCTGCTGGGAGCTCCCACTGGAAGGTGCCCCCACCCACTCATTTTCTTGAATTCAGGAAGACTTTTGAATTTGGGTGTAGCCTCACAGAGGGAGGGAAAAAGTAAAATACTTGAACAGTCATGACCTGTTTGAATATTTCACCCTGTGGTCCAGCAGAAGGTGCCCTTCAAATGTCACCATCAACTTGACCTGCCTCTAAAGTAAGCTGATAAACATGTGACTAGTGAAGTAGGACACTATAGAGTGAAGCCATGTTGTTTGGATCATCACAACATGGAAAAATATGTCACAGTACAATCTTAAGACCCATATCACACCCACAATATATAGAGGGTACTGAGGGGGGCATTATGCTACATGCGTTCAATTTAATTCAAACTAATTAATTAATAGTTCAAATTAGTTCTAACTAGGGCTGCACAATTACTTCACGTATAATATAAAATCACAATATGGCCAAGTGCAAATATCCAAATTGCAGGAGCTGCAATTTTTTTTTGATAAAGGTAAAATGTGTCACATTATTGTGCATTGTTAGCACCATAAGTGTTGTGGTGCTGCTGAATCTGAACTGAAATCAAATATCCCAATATCTGCCAAAATAATCTCAGTATGATTTTTTTTTTTTTTTTGCATATCACACAGCTTTAGTTCTTTTTGAAATGGTGACAGCCGTACTGGACAACCTCCACTGTATTTATTGAGTATTGATTCAGCACAGCTATGAACCAGTGACCAGTTCATAGTAGCTTTAGACATTGACAGCACTGTGTCTGCCTCTATGGTTGATTGTACAAATAGACTTTGAGAATGTCTCTCCTCAGACATTCATAGTTTCTCACCGTCCAATCGCTGTGTAAAGTGATGTAATTGTTTCAGAGTTTCGCAGATTGTCAGATACTGTCCTTTGTTAGATGCTCTCAGAAGCAGTTTATTGAAATCACACTGTGGCGTAATCAGCTCTGACTTGTGGATACAGTCTGTGGCTGCAGCTTATCTGTTGTGCCCTCCCTCCTTCTTTTTAAAACCTGTAGATCCACAGGGAAGAACTGGGGCTGGCTCGTCCCAAACACAGTAAGGATTCATCTGACAAGCCCGTCGCTCTGCTCAATACTGCTCTGCTAGAGGTTAGCCTCCTGTCTGTCTGTCCTCTGTCTGAGCCACAATGTATTCCAGTGCACCGGCTACACTGTGTATGAACAGCTTCAGCTACATACAGCTTCTTTTTTACATCTCATATGTAGCTTTGTTTTTGTCCAACTCTTCACTGTCTTCATAGTTTTTAAATCCAAAATGCAGCAGCCACACATCTGCCTTTAGATTTGCCGGTGACTTTAGTTTCATAAAGGACAAGAACTGATGTCACAGCTTATCCAGAACATCCAGAGCTTATCCAGAAAAAAATGCTTCAGAACTATGTTGCTTACCAAACTTATATTGGTTTGGTTTGTGAGGGGAAAAAAACAGCTGCGGAGACAGTAATTAAGCTGAGGTTGAACGTGATGGCATGTCTGCCCTCAGGTCATGATATGGTAAATGTTTAAGTGTTGTAGATGCGTTATAATAATACAAGCTCATAAACATAAACACGTAACGAGCAATTTAAATAAAATTTTCAAAAGCCTGAAAAGAAAACTTGTTGATGTGTTATAGTTACAGCATCCTGTTAACTAATGATTGAATTAATTGAATGATCCCAGCTACTTTTTTGAAGTTTGGGAATCAGGTCGAGACTCTGTGTCAGAGGATGTCCTCGGTGTAGACATCAGAAGAGAGAAAATCTGCATTCCTGCTAAAAAAATAAGCTTCAGGTCGCAGCTACAGAAGCCGTCACATCACCAACGTAGACATCTGCACTGGTTCAAACTTAACCATCATCTTTTCCATCATGTGACACAAGTGACTGAAGTGGACCAAGTGTAAGATTTCAGTCTGGATTCTGACTCATTTTCTTAATCTTCAGGAACCTGAACCACAGAGGTCTGCCAGGCTTTCATCCCCTCTGGTTCACCTCACCAGAGTCGAGCCACTCACCTTTAGACCCTCGTGTAACATCTCACCCATTAAGCGTCAGGAGTCCCGCTGGACTGTGTCAGACCAGGTCTCTGCAGCAGGGGTACAGCTCCACTCAAACATCTGTGGCTGCTTTCAGTTCTGTCCTCTCTCTTCTCTCACCTCACTTCTCAGTGACACGTGTGTGTGAAAGCTGTATTGTTTCAGTGAAACATGAAGAGCATCTTGTACTTTATAGTTGTACTGATGAATGGGTCAGTTGTGTGTTTGTGTGAGTGCAGCTGTTGAGGGTTTGTGCAGGGACAGTTGTGTGACAGCTGAACTGTTGGCTGGTTAAACATCATTGACACACAACCACACACACTTTTTAAGAGCAGGAGGAGGAGTTTGTCCCTCCGGATGTCCAACTGGTTAAACAGCGGCAGCAGAAAATCACCAGCTTCCTGTCCACGTGCAGCCCTGTGAGGACACACAGCTACACACCCACACTGTCAGAGGGTGTGTTGGTGAGACAGGTAGACTGTTACGCTCTGTGTCACACTCACAGCGTGGTTCAGTAGTAAACACGGTGGTCACATGGTGAGAGATGTGTAATAGGGGGTCTGCACCTCACCTCAAATACATGAAGAAGCTTGATACGTTCACTGATGAGATTCAGTCATGAATCAGCTGTTTGCTCTTTCACTCTGCTCATCACTGTTGTTTTTGTGTGTAGGTGGAGAAGATCACAGCCAGTGACCAAAACCTGAAAGTGCATGAGAGTGATGTTCTGAAGGAGCTGTTCCCCAACGACATCAACAGTCCAACAGGAATCACGTGAGTAACTGATGACACTGCTCTCCTCTGGTTCTCATGCTAAACAGACCAACCACAGGATCCATGATATTAGACCAGAGCTCTTCAATTCTTTTTACTCTGAGCTACTTTGACAAAATAAAAGTCTTAGATTACTGGTTACATTTATTCACATATTGTATCAAAACAGTCAAACTGATCTGTAAACCAAATCAGACGAATAAGATCATTGAACAAGTCATCAAATATCAACATCCAAAACCATCTGAAACTCACATTGGACAAAAACCTGAGTCATGATTCAGTCAGACCTGAACACTCAGACATGAAAACACCACTGTAAATAATTCAATTCAATTTTACTTTATTTGTGTAGCAAAAATCATAACAAACATTATCTCAAGGCACTTTACAGGACGTGACGTCCATGAATCTCATTAGAAGCTCAACGGTCAGTGGTCCAGTCATAGTTGTCAGTTCATCAATAGTACATCACAAACAGAAAGTTAAAATTGATCATTCATTACACTTCATTTTCAGAAATGTAACATGGACAAAAAGGAAAAGAACAACGGGGCTCAAGTTGAAGCCCACTGTTTAACTCATACATTAGTTAAAGCTAAATTACTGCCATAAAGAACTAAAACCATCTGCTGACTGTGGACTGTGAAGAAAACAATTTTTGTGATCTGTATTTATTCAGGGCAATTTGGTAACCATGGTAATGTGTGAAAGTCAGCAGGTCAGTGTGATGATTTTTTAATGACCAGTCAGAAAGTCAACAGCACTTCGACAGAAGTGTGTTGTCTTTTTTCCTCATTTACAACTTGAGTGAAACATGGTGACCACACAGTAACTTTCCCCCTTATAATAACCTACTTCTAACATACAAGACGCCTGTTTCTACACGTCTGTCATTATTGATGACGGTGATGTCCAGTTACAGCAACTCTTATAATTATTTATCTGTGATGTCAGAAGGTCAAGGTTCAGCGTGTCCAGTCACAGGAATCTGATCCTCTGTGGGTTCTTGTTAACAAAAACTGTCCAGTCAGTGAGTTTCACATCAGTCCATATGACTTCTGTTTACAGCTCTGTTTGTTTGTATAAAACAGACCAGAACTAAAGCAAGATGATGGACCTATGTTTTTATGTGGTCCAGACCACCTGAACCAAACAAGACAAACCTGTAAGATTCAGTGTGTTTTCAGAAACAATAAGAGTTGACCTGACCGTCAGAAAACACTGACTCTAAAATCCTCGTCTCTTGCAGCGCCACCTGTCGGCGACCCATCCGAGGAGCGGCTGGTCGCCCGCTGAAGTCCAGTGACCTGTGGAACAGTGAGAACTGCCTCTTCTCCCCGAAAACCACCAAGACCAGCAGCTCCTCATCCTCCTACACAGAGAGCTGCACCGTCAACAGAGTCACCAGCCTGCCCCCCTCCACCCCCTCCACCAGCTTCACCTCCTCTACCTCCACCTCCTCTTTCTCCAACTCCTCCTCCAGGCTTTTGTCTGCAGCTCCCCCTGCAGGCCCGACCAAAGCAGAGCGCCGCGGCATGTCTCTGTGGATTAAGCTGTTCCTGCTTGCCATCGTGGCAGCGTTCCTGTTCTTGGTTTACCAGGCCATGGAGACCAACACCATCAACCCATTTGTAGGCTCAGACACAGATGTGGCCAGTAGCAGTGCAGCATAGAGAGCACAGGACGTGTCTGAGGGGAGAGAGAAGCTTGCTTATATTATTTCATTTTTTATAAGTGTGCATTGTAGCCATGTTGTTCACGGGTGCTGTGAAATGACCTCTGACATCAACGCCCGTTTGTTTGTTTCTTTTTCCTTCCTTTCTCAATCTGTTTTTACCGAATCCTGAAAGAGATTTGACAAAGCCATTTCAGTAACGCTTCGAGGATCTCCATGACACGTTGTGAAAGGACAGTACTGCATCAGCTGTTGTTGTTTTGGTCCACCAATTACCTCGCCGTCTGTGAGGTTACTACGAAGCCAGCCACTAATCAACTCTGAGAAACACAAACAGTAGATTTCATAGAAATAGGTGGACCTACTTTTTATTGCCATGTTGTGTGCGTGTGCGTGTGTGTTTGAGTGTGTGTGAGTGTGTTTGTACTGAATGTGTGTGGTTCAGATGTATTTTTTTCACACTCTGCCTTAGTTTCTGTCTCTGTTGGTCATTAACAGCGTTGAAGATGGAGTTTGAACCTGTAATTTTGTTTTGTACTCGACCATCTTTGTTAATGAGACAGGGAGGCTCGTTATTATAATCCAAACGCTTCTTCTTAAACCCTACGCCAATATTTTCTTAATGTTCTCTTATAATGAATTTGAATGTCCCAGTGTATTCTACTTAATTATGTATTCACTGTCACAAATATTGAATATCCACTCAATAAACTACTATGTTGTTACAGTGCCTGAAAGAGCATGTTATTCATCCACTATTAGTAACACTTTCTTTTTTTCTCAGCACTTTATTAGCTTTTGTTCATTTTACATTTACAGAGTAAACGGATCATTCAAACATTAAGACACAAACCTGTGTGAGGCTTCACTTCAGCTACATGCTCACAGTTAATGCTAATAAGCTGATGTTTAAAGGGTATAATGTTTACCATGTTAACTGTCTAGGTTAAGCATGCTAACATTGGCTAATTAGCAGTAAACTCAAAGATAATTGAGGGTGATGGGAGGTATTATGTCATAAGCCTACGGAGGCAGAGAAAGGCAAGACTTGCAAATATTTTTTATCCCGTAATCTTAAGATAACAAAGCTCTTTATCCCAAGATAATGAGATAACACAAAATCGTTTCCTCCTGATAATATCTCATTATCTTGGGATAATGTGCTTTGTTATCTTAAGATAATGGGATTAAAAAATGTTTGGCTTCTGGATGAATTTAAGTATTTGTCACATAAAAATTTTGACCTGATGATGGCGCTAGAGGAAAACTTAGAGGCTCACCAAAGTGATTAGAAATCATCGTGAGGGGAAGATGAGTGTCTGAACTGTATTTCATGGCAGTCCCTGCACTAGTTGTAAAGACAGTTCAGTCTGGACTGAGGCCACTGACTGACCTGCAGACCAACATCCCACTCATACATCCATAGAAACGGCTGTCATCAATTCCAGTTTACACTAGAATTATGTCTTTAGAACGGTTCAGACTGAGGCCTGTGGATTATCCAGAGTAACAGAGGTATTGAGTTTTCATTACTGTAGGCAACACAAATGTGATTCTTTTCAGCTTAGTCATTATGGGAGGAGACAGACATGTCGGAGCCCGAAATCTCTAAACCTGGACACACAAAACCAAATCTAGAGCCACACCAGATATTTTATTATTACTATTATTATTTCTATGAATGGGCCCTTTAACTTATTACTCATTTTGTCTATAAAACTAAAGACAAATGCACATCAGGTAAGAGCCCAGACTAATGACAAGTTTTAAAAACCTGTTCAGTTTTACATTGAAAAACAGCAAACCCTCACCTGAGATGTTTAGTATTTTTATTTGATAATTGATAACCAAATTTATCAGTCATTAATTTTCCCTCAAGTAAATGATGAATTAATCGACTAATCCTTTCCACATTACTTGCTGATGCTAATGACTGACATTTCACTTCAGAAAATCTTTCTCTGTAGTTGTATCATGATAATCACTCTAAGTTAAGGCAAGAAATGTTAAACATTCCCCTCACATATGTAGATTTACCTACTGTTTACAGCTGTTACCTGTTTTTCCAGATTCATAGTCAAAACCAAACATATATTTCTAGTAATAACAGAGAAACAAATCCTGGAGGTGGTGACAGACGAGGACACAGACCAAAGTATGACAGGAAATGTGGCTTTGGTTGTTCTTGTAAATCTCTGGTTAAAGATCAATGCTTTACAAGTAAATTAGGGTTGAGTTATAAACTACCTCACATATATATATAATATTGTTATGTCAAGATAAGAGTTTGCTCATAAGCTTCATACTTGCACGTGCAAAGAGTCAGAACAAAACATGTTTGCGTTTGCTCCTCCGTCACAGTCACACAATCATATCTTAACAGTTCTTGCCTGGCAATGCTTTCTTGACATATTCAGCTCCATTACCACACTGCAGTAAATTTTTATTTTACAGTAGCTGTTCTTTACTTGAATATTCTTTTTGGAAACTTCTGACTTTTACTCCACTACACTTAAAAGACAAATATTGTACTTTTGACTCCACTACATTTCTATGAAGTACTCTTACTTTGAAGCAGTCAGTGAATTAATTTTATTTTATTTTTAAAAAAATGTGACAGACCATACACTGTGTTAATCACAGGAGAAAAACCAATCACAGCCAACTCCTCCACTGTCAGTCATGTTTGAACCTGTCAGTGTCCAAATGATGGTGACGTTAGATAAAGATGAGGCAGAAGATTCTTCACCAGAGACCTGATCTGATCTGAAGTCTGTGTTTGAAGGTTTAGAAATAAAGAAAGATTCATTTAGTTTGAAATGTTTACCACGACCTAACTTCATCACTGACTAAAAGAAAGAAATAGGAAAACAACAAAGGCTCCTTTTGTTTATTCAGTTGTGTTTCTATGACCATGTCTTCAGTCTTTGTATCATAATCTACAAGCTTTTTATTCTACAGGTTCTACAGTCAGTCAGAAATCAAGAACTCCAGTAGGCTACTTTAACTCAAGTCAAAATCTGACTGAACAACTTTCACTTGTATTCAAGCAATATTTGACCAGAAGGGTTTATACTGTGACTCAAGTAATGAATTTGTGTACTTTGGCCACCTCTGAATAGAACAGATAGAAATAAAACATAAAGGCTGAGGAAAATGATAAAATTAGAAGAAGTGAAACTTTGACTTTTTATGTTTCTTTCCTTGTTTCTGCACAAACAGCTGAAGGACAGAGGGAGCACCTCTTCACTCATGCCTTATGTGCAACCGAGGGCACCCACTCAGGTAATTCAACCAGGTGAGCAGTGACGTCACAAAAGTGATCATCGTTAAAGGGGGGCTTCGCTCTCAGCCGCATTAGGTTGAGACAGAAATAGAAACAGCTGCCAATAGGTTGTCTAATCCACTTAATGACCCTCCCACGGTTTGTCATAGGGAGTGATTCTTTGTCATACAGTCATCCCTCCTCTATGTTTCTGACTGTCACACACAGATATTTATTCAACGTCTTCAATAAATCTCTTCTGTTCGAAGAATTTTCTCTCAAGTTCCTACAAGCACCGCCTTCATGTAGGATATCGCAGAGCAGCTTTGTGATTGGACCAGAGGTGTTGACTGACAGCTCCACGGAGTTTCTTTAGTGGACAGAGAGACACAAGGACCCGCCCACAGTTCTCAGTGACGTCACGAAAGGACAAATCGATTTACCGCGAGGTCATTCGGCCTCTCCGAGCAGCCGGTTACAGCTAAGCGGAGGCGCCATCTTAAGACACAGAGAGAGTGAGTGCTATTATTCATTTAAATTAGAACATATGAACTGCCACAACGTGACTCTATCGTTAGGAACGTATTATATATATAGCCGCGACCTCTGTCAGCTTTTTTGTTGACGGGACTTTTATCTTTTCTGTTTAGAAGAGACCTTCCACCTTGAAGCGGTCAAGCTAGTTTAGCACGTCAATTAGCATAGCATTTTAGCACCAGCTAGAAAAGAACGAGAAATGCTATATGAATTTGTTGGCAGGTGCGTTGGCATCTTAAACTGGCGTTTACAAATGACTAACGACTGTAAAGTAACTTGTATTGATGTTAAGTGATTATTCGTATAGCTTAGTATTATGTCATTCAGTAAGCTTAGCATTTCCTGTTCACGGTCATTCAGACGCGAAACTAACAAGCTAACAAGCACGTGACATGATACCCCTCAGTTCAGGTGTTGGTGTGTGTGGGAGTGGATTGTGTTACCAGTCAGCAAGGCACCCCGAGCTAGCACACAGCTAACCAGTTGCTCACTGCACTGCAGCTCCGCCGGCAGGCAGGACACCACCATGTACCCGACCTCTTTGACGCAGCTGGCACGGGCCAACCCGTTCAGCGCCCCCCTGTTCAGCCTCCAGAAAGTGGAAGAACCCCAGCAGAGCCTTCATGGACAGAGGACCCGCAGACTGGCAGCAGCAGCGACCGCAGAAGGTAACCCCGGCAAGGAGTCCAAAGGGCTGGCTAGTGTTAGCTGCGTTAGCTTAGCCGATCGGATTCGCCAGGTTGTGACCAACGTCACTGCGTAATTCGGTATAGATGTACTTATTAAGCACAGTGGACATTGTGCGCTCTCTAGCTAATCATCAAACCCGTTTACTCGTTATGAACAGTGAGGAATATGATTGTTGCGACAGTTAGCTGCTAGGCCCTCGCTGCACACAAGCCGCCTGTGGAGGACAAGGAAGGACAAAGAAGTACCTTGACTTTGCACTGCAGTAAACTGTATTTGACGTGTCGCACTTCATTTCAGATACTGGATTTAAAATTAATGAAATTGTTTTATTGCCGATCCAGTATTTAATTACATTATTGTAAACTCGCCCACAAATGCATGTGACCCGACTATGAGCTGCACAGGACTGATCAAGAACAAACTGTCCTAGCTTGAAGGGTTTATGACTTAAAGATGATACCCCAAATTACTTTGACATCCTAACACAGCAATGCTGCTGAGTGTCTAGTGTCAAAAATGTCAAAGCCTGCCCTTTAAAGCAAGTCTTGAACTTCTTTACCTACATTTATTAGGACAATCTATGCCCAACCATTTGTTGCGATGTAAACATATTTTTGACTAGTTACACTAAGAGTTTGAGTTAAAATTCAATGTATGAATGTTTGCCCCAACAGTTATGAGATTGTGTTATCTTCACAGTAGTGGTACATTTCATTTGTGTTTGTTACTTGGGAGTGGATCAAGTTCAGTAAGACTATGGTTATTACTGGCTTACATGGCTTTGTTTTCAGACTAAACAGTTGCTGGTGTTCATGTTAAACCACTGTCTGTTGTGACCAGAGTGGTAAAATAAGTTGTTTCCAATGCACTTGACTCCCTGTTAAAGCTTCTGACTTGTCAGACATCCAGGTGGATTGAAGGTATTTGAATTCTTCAAACTCTTAGCCAGTTGGACATCCAAACACTCAAAGAAACCTTCCTCTTTTGTAAGCTCAGAGATGCACAGTTCTTAAGTCTCGCCTGTGTTTCTTCAGAGGGTGACAGTTGTGAGTTCGGCTCTCAGAAGTATTTCGTCCTGTGTGGCTTTGGTGGGATTCTGAGCTGTGGCACCACACACACAGCTGTCGTTCCCCTTGATCTGGTCAAATGCAGAATGCAGGTCTGTCTCCGCGGCTAAGTGCCATTTTTTTAACATCACACCTCGCCTATCCATAACTGTTGTGGCCTTTTTTT